TGTATACACATATATATATGTATACACATATATATATGTATATATATATATATAATAATATATATATATTATTATATATATATATTACATACATATATTGTATATATGTATATATGTATATATGTATATATATATATATTGCGTGTTTATTCATAATATATATCTATATATCATATATATATATATATGTATACACATATATATATGTATACACATATATATATGTATATATATATATTATATATATATATAAATGCATACATGCATATATATATGTGTGTGTGTATGTGTGTATGTGTATATATATATATATTGCGTGTTTATTCATAATATATATCTATATATTATATATAATATATATAATATATATATATATTACATATATATATTGTATATATGTATATATATATATGTATGTATACATATGTATATATGTATATATATATATTATATATATATATATCTATATATCATATATATATATATTAATATATATATATATAATAATATATATATATATATGTTTATATATATGTATATATGTTATATATATATATATGATATATATATATATTTATATATATATATATATATATATATATATATATATATATATATATATATATATATATATATATATATATATATATATATATATATATATATATATATAAATGCATACATGCATATATATATGTGTGTGTGTATGTGTGTATGTGTATATATATATATGTTTATATATATGTATATATGTATATATGTATATATGTATATATATATATATATATATATATATATATATATATATATATATATATATATATATATATATATGTATACACATATATATATGTATATATATATATATATATATATATATATATATATATATATATATATATATATATATGTATGTATACATATGTATATATGTATATATATATATATTTATATATATATATATATATATATATATATATATATATATATATATATATATATATATATTGCGTGTTTATTCATAATATATATCTATATATCATATATATATATATATATATATATATATATATATATATATATATATATATATACATATATATATATATTACATATATATATTGTATATATGTATATATGTATATATATATATATATATATATATATATATATATATATATATATATATATATATGTATACACATATATATATGTATATATATATATATATATATATATATATATATATATATATATATATATATATATATATATATATATGTATATATGTATATATATACATATGTATATATGTATATATATATATTTATATTATATATATATATATATATATATATATATATATATATATATATATATATATATATATATATATATATATATATTGCGTGTTTATTCATAATATATATCTATATATCATATATATATATATATATATATATATATATATATATATATATATATATATATATATATATGTATATATATATATATATATATATATATATATATATATATATATATATGTATATATATATATATATATATATATATATATATATATATATATATATATATATTACATACATATATTGTATATATATTATATTTACATTATATATATATATATATATATATAAGATATATGTATATTATATATATATAAATAAACATATATATATATATATATATATATATATATATATATATATATATATATATATATATATATATATATATATATATATACATACCGGTTACTTTTTTCATTTTGATATTCTTTTCTGAGGTACCACAGGGTAAAATCTTGAAGTACGGTTAGTTTAGGACCACCAAAGCAGTTTCATAATAACGGCAGTGATGCATGCGAAAGGGAACTTAAATTTGGCTTAACTTCCACCAATTTTCGTCTAATGTCGTATTCTTTAACTTTATCACATTATGAATCATATTCACAGTTATAGTATTACTTTCGTAGAAAAAGGAAAGGTATGTAATTGGCTACATTTGTTTTATCTAATTAACGTTTAGAACTTATGCATGTTCCTGCGATTTTATGAAAATATTCTAACGAGACCTGATGCTAATTTATAATCGTTGATAATACTGCAGACTTAAGAAATTTGGGGAAGAATTGGGGTGAAAAGGAGTTGATTGTGGAAGATTAAAGTTAGCATGGAAATTGTACGAGTATAGTGGGGCTAATCGTCACATATTACGGGTACTTCTCACCAATTATTGAGGAAGATGGTGAGGTATTAAGTAAAGTAAAAACCCCAATAATTCTTTCTTTCTTCGTAGTTCCATTTATTGAGGGGGATTGGTAGATTATTTAAAATTATGATAAATCAATCTCCCTCTAGAAATGAAAACTAAGAATTATGAGCTGTACTAAACTTAAAAGCGTAAAAATCTGTGAAGGTAAAATCGTCTTATCGGTATTTTTGCAGTAGGGAATGGCAAATGATTATGGTGAAAG